CTTCCTCCCTTCCTCCCTTCCTCCCCATGCAAACTATTTGTGTGCCTAACATCCTCCCAAATAGCCTTAATATGGGTTCCATCACATGGTCAATACAGATCAGAATTCCCCAAAGTGGTCAGTATTGACCTCCAAGGGTTGATGGGACTATCCAAGGGGTGGATGTTACTATTATTCTTATTATTCATAGTACTATTAGTTAAAGTAGTATGTATTAAATTATTTTCATATAATAAATATTTGGGGGTCAGTGAACAATCTGAAACTTCATAAAGGGGTCGATCAGCTGAAGGTTCATGATCTAGGTGCTTCTGCCATTTAAAATGTAATGTTTGGATTGCGGTGAAACATTAATCTATCTTTAATTGGAGGAGGGCAAATAAATTTACTTCTAAATCAAGGATACAAATATGTGATGGAAGGCGTAAGTGGGGAGGATTCTGGTATGGAGCTTCAAGGTTACAGGGAGGGGGAAGTGACATTCCAAGCATCTCCTCAGCCCCCAGCTGGGCTGTGTGAAAGTCAAGAGAAAGAGACTGGCCCCTCCCTAAGGGCTTGATGGTTATAGTTGCTCTTGTTGGGGAATTAGAGTGAGTCTGGTGAGTTTCTGTCTATTAGGTGCAAGCTAATAAAGAAGCTGAGCTGATTTCTGGACTCTCTCATGTGATTCTTGGGCTGAACCCAACAAAATATGTGGAATCTGACTGTGGTATATGGCTCTTTAAGTGAGAACCAGTTTTTGTTGGTCCTGCTGTTAGTGTCTGTAGTCGCTATAATAAATTTAATGAAATAATAAATAAATCATCCAAGAAGTCAGCTTTTATTTGAAACATTAGCTTTCTTGTGCTTTACTTAAGGAAAAGTCAAAATACAAAAATTGCTCCCTAAGGTTATCACAATCTCAACTGAAAAGAGAGTTGAAGAGTTGAAATCCCGGTGTATATGGAAGGCCTCGGTTGTAGAAGGCTGAAAAAGACCATGTTTAGCTTGACTGATGAACAGCTTGAGCAATTTCCCAAGAAATTGAAAATCCATAGAAAGGAATGCTGAAGAAAAAACATTTATTTAGTCCAGTCTTCATAAGAATTGTCATACTCTTACAAGGAAAAGTCTTCTTCAAGTGGAGCTTGATTTCTATAAAGTTCTTGGTCTTGTCCATGTAGTTTTTTTGGAAGTTGGCCACTGCTCTCTTCCCAGTTAGACCTATAGTCTTTCCTAGTGGTCTCCCATCCAAATGTAAATCAGGTCCAACTCATCTTAACTTTCTGAGATCAGCCAAAATTAACCAGGTGGTGCCACCTGCTGGGCCAATCCAACCATAATGAATATTGCTCACGTGAATGTTACTCAGCTGAACTTTCTAAAGGCCTACAACACTTACTATCAGTATTGGCAGCCTCCATGTAGCACTCTCTAGATATTTTAGATAACTCCCATCATCATTGGCTGTGATAGCTAGGTTGATAGATGTTGCAGGTCATAACAATCTAGGGGACACCAGCTTGGTGAAAACTGACGTATGGAAGAAATTGAAATATCTGTTTGTTTTTCATCACCTAATATTTGTTCTTTAATTAAGGTCATTCCAGTGTAGGCAGTCAGATGAGACCATGGCAGAGAGATTAGCTAGAACTGATTGGATACCTTTGGTACGTGAGATCAGCCTAGCAACCCTGGAGTAAGGAGCTGGTAGTCATCCTGATTAGATGTCTGAGAGTTAATGTTTAACCCATCGTTTGGGTGATATGATGAAAACAGGAATGTACAATGTTGAACCTTCTCCCCGTGGAACAGCAAAACAGGAGGTCATTGTACCCTTTACCCAGCCCAGAGATGCAGAAAAGGAGAATAAAAAGATAGACAACTACAACTGGAGTGTATTATCAGAAGGGCTTTCCCCCAGACATCTTTGGTTGGGTGAACTCTGGTCCCATGTGGTGAACAAGCACCATGATTTGGGGTCTCTTCAATGGCAGTAAAGCATTCTGGCCCTTATATCAGAAAAGTTTTCTTCTACGGTTGAGATCGTGTGTGAATAAGAATCTGTTTCCTGGTTTGACTTCCTGATCTTGCCTTTGACCTGGGTTCTTGGCTTCAGCCTTCAGTTCTGAATCCTGGCTTCGCCCTTTGATGCCGGTCTTCAGCTCCTCAGCTCTGACTGTTGCCTAAGGATCAGGCTGATAGTCATCATGATACAGAGTCATGACTGCTTCAGCAATGACACTGCTCCCATCTGGAATACCCGCCTGGTGCTCGCTTTGGGAATTCCTCAACTCCTCATCACCTTCATCTCTGCTGTCTTCAACTCGGCCGTCGTCCTTGGTGTGGTGTTTTCCAAAGAGTTGCACAAACCCATCTTCATTCTCTTCTGCAACCTGGCCATCTCTGATTTCCTCTGCAGCTCCTCGGGCTTCTGGATTGCCATGGTGTTCATCACTGACCCTCAAAGTACTATAGTGGGGTCCAAGGAACTCCTTAGAGCGTACGCCTTCTATGCCATGTCCATCCTGGCCACCATTTATAATTTAGTCATCATCGGCATTGAACGCTACTTGGCTGTATCCAGAAGCATCACCATGAGATACCGAATCACCAGAAACCAGATTTTAAGTACCACATTGGCTATTTGGGCATGTGCCTTCTCCTTAGGTTTCATGCCTCTGATGGGGTGGAACTGCCTGGAGAAGGACAAAATCTCTGCTCTGTACAGCCCCCTCTGCATGGACTATCTCGCCTTTATCACCATACCTCACTGTGCAGTGGTGTTGATTCTACCGCTCTTCACTTATGTCAACATCATTGTCTTTTTGAGAAAGCACAAAGTAACAATGGAAACCCTGGGACAATCCCACGCTACTTATCGGTTAGCTGAAGTCCAAGTTGCCAGAACCAGCGTATTGATTTGGCTTCTAGCTTTGTTTTCTTATGCTCCTTTCTTTGCGGGGGTTGTGTTTGATTCAGCCACTCAACAATGTCCCAGCGAGCATTCCCCAGCTATCTATATCTTCCGAAACCTCACGGCAATGATGATAACCATTAACTCGCTGGGCGATCCCATCATATACTCTCTGAATATGAAGAAACTGAGGCACATGCTCAAGTTTCTGAAGCATCCTTCCAATAACCGCATTGAAATACAAGCTATTGGACAGACCTGATCTGGGTTGAAATTCTGGACCTGTGTATTTCCATCTCTTGTGAATTATCTACATTTGGCATGATGGATGCTGCAGTCCTTTACATGCCTACTCAGAAATAAATCCCATTTAAGTTCAATGGGACTTACTCCAAAGTGATAGAGTTTAAGGAGAGGAGATGGAAGTCATGTAAAAGCTCGTACACAGGGGCAGGACATAATGTAACATCTGTGTGTCTGAGACCTTATGGGAAGTACATTCCAATCTGATGTATTCTTATTGAGTTTGTATTCCTCTCCTTTTCTTTAAATAAGATGCTCAAAGATAAGAATTGTTGATCTTTGAAGGGTTCTGAATTCAGGTTTGCACTACAGTACCGCTGGCCAATTTCAGCACCCGGAGGAGTGGACAGTTCCCACACAACGTTAAACGGAATGATCAAAACTGCTTCAAAACGTAAACCACAGAGACAAAGAAATCCAAATTCAGGATGAAGATTCAAGGTTTTGATGTGAACTTCCTCCAGAATGAATTATTAGTCAGAATAATCAATCTGTGAATTTCTCTAATGATTACAAACGCTTGCTCTATTTTTCTTCTGATTATAGTAAGTACACTATACTTGGCTTGAAAAAATGTTATTGCATTGTTGCTATGTTTGTTATTGTTCTCCATCAGTTATATCTGTTTATTCAACTAATTGCAGGTATGATAGATCTCAGGTAGATCATGCCTCTAATACAATGGGTTATGACCCACAAAAGCTTACACAATAATGAAATTGTTACCTTTTACTGTGTCACAAGATTTATAGCTGACGTCTCAGGAAAATGGCTGGGATTAATGTCTCTCCTCTAAAATAGTGGTTAATGTTGGGGAGAAAGATGGGAAACAAAATTAAAATAAGATTTATATTTAAAACAGATAATGTTCACAAAATGCGGACTGCTTATTCTGGATTCAGAAGTGTAAATACCGTTTTACACATCTGGATGAATGCAGGAAGTCAGAAAACGTGTATAGTGTGCTTTTATAAATTAATAAAAAGGGTTTGCTGGAGGGTGCCTGGTGCATCTCTGTATGATCCTCCAAATTGTTCTCCCCTTTCTTGGTGGTGCTAATAATTGTGCCCCGACCTTGCATAGATTGTGATTGACTCCCTTCATCGTGGCTGTGGGAGAACACTTAACAGAGAGGAAAATCTCATCCTGTACAGTCCTATATAGCAGGGTTCCTCAACCTTGGCAACTTTAAGACGGATGGACTTCAACTCCCAGAAATCCCCAGCCAGCAAGCTGGCTGGGGAATTCTGGGAGTTGAAGTCCATCCGTCTTAAAGTTGCCAAGGTTGAGGAA